GTCCCTTCGTATTAATAATTCTCATAAATAATTTTGAGAGGTTGGTTTTTTTTTTTTTATTGCTTGAGGCATCAGATCATGTAGTGGCCAAGTGTGTTGGATGTGTAAACTGTACACCTTTTCTTTCGACCGTGACTGTCTTCGGAAAATCGTGTTACTGTGAATTCATACAAACATGTATTCAACCACTTTTATGTTTTTTCCCTCATATATAAAGAGTATTGGGACGAGTCTTTTTGTAATATAAAGTAAACAAAGAAAGGCATGCATGAGTCGAGAAAATGCATTGTAATACTCATCTTCTGCGCTAGTGAGATGTTGCAGTGACATCAAGTGGATACGAGAGAGTAAATCACTTTAAATTCTGGGATTTTCTTTGTTTTATATTATTATTGCTCTCAATAATATAGGTCTAGGGATTGATCCATGACAAAAATGAATGTATTTCTCACAATAACTAAGAGTATCTACATTGTATCGTTATCTTTTCTTAGTATGCCAATCGATTTCAATTTTCATACGTGCACAATTTAATGAGTTTTTGTTAGATGGAATGCATTAATTCTTGTGATCTGCAAACCCTTGATTAAAAGGCACACAAATTAGCTTGCTACTTTCTAGGGAAGAGCCGCATCCTTAACGGTCCCCACTTGCCCTACCCTGAGCCTTGGTGAAGGAGGTAAATCTCTGGTTATGCCTCCAAAGGCATAGGGTGGAAAGCTGCTTGTACACTTGCACTTACCCAATGGCCAAATCCATATTTCAGGATTCGAACCCTTGACACGACAGCCTCAAGTAAAGTTAGAGTTTTTCCACATTCCCCTTTTACCACTTGGAGATGTGCCATAGGGCTAGCTTGCTACTTTCTATAATTGACTTTTGGTTGTTAGAGTAATAGTTTCACCTACAAAGTAAAAGTTATAAATTAGTCTATTCAAAAAAAAAGTTATAAATTATGTTGAGTCCTTGTTTTACTTTTTTAAAAATAAATTTTTCAGTAAATTTTGATAAAAATTGATAAAGATCCCATGAAATTTATAGTCAAGAATAAATTTGAAAAAAAAAATGAAATTTTAAAAATGTGACCAAACGGGGACTTAGTAAAAATTAAGTACGTAATATGTAGTGTACTCTTTATTTTAGCGCTTAAGGTACAAACTTTTAATTATTATTATTTCATAAGTTTGATAATATAGAGAAAAATGATATTACAATAATCATAATTTCTTCAGTGCATAAGAGAAATGATCGGAAAATATAAACATCATTAATATTAGAAGCCATTAATGAGTACAAATTAATGATAATGTGAAGAGCATTTCGTTAAGAAGATTAACTGAATTTTCAACTTTATTATTTTTAAATTGCATTTTTGTAATAATTAAAATGAAAACAAAATCATTTGCATTCTACAAAATATCCCAACATTTTTGATATGTTGAGCAATTTTCTCAAAGAAAAATAAAATAGCAGGATCATATAAATAAGTTTGATTCTTTGTTAGACCATACGACATCATGTGTGTATGATGTTGGTAACTCTTTTAGTATGAAACTTATTTTCCTCATCTCCTCTCTCTCTCCCCCATCGTTCCTAACTTCCTATGCCCCTGTGCCCGTAGCGGAGCCAAATTTCAACGTTGTTGGAGAGAATTTTTTGAAGGGACAAAATATACACGTAACTTTTAAATATATTAAAAAAATAAAAAAAAATTCTATACTCAACAAAATATTTTAAAAGATGTCATAATCTTAGATTTAATTGTTGACGGATAAAAATCACACGTCGAATAAAAATGAAAATATAGACTAACTTAAGATTGAGCTACTCCTCTTAACGAAATTGACATTTTAAGAAAGAATTCCAAATTTTAACATGGTATTAGAGCACATTAAACTCTAACGAGCAATTAGATCTAATTAAACCTCAAAAAAATTAGCATACGGATTTTAAAAGTTACTAAGGCAAACATGTTTGGCTTTTCTTTAAGTTACTTTTTTAAAAAGAATTTCATTACAAAAAAGGTTACTTTTTTTAAACCAAGTATTTGCTTACCCTTTTTTTGGGCTCAGCCAAATATGCCGTGCTGGAAAAAGAATGTCGATTCATTACATGTACTCCGATAAAATGTTTGATGATACTGTAGATTAGGACATTAAAACTGTCACTCTCTCCAGTTTCACCATTTGCTGCGTCTATTATCTCTTGCTTTTCTTCTAAGCTGAGATAATATCCCCACCAACTTTTGGGCTGTCCCGTAAATCCCATTACAAGATTTAGGGTTGCAACTTTTGAATCAACACCAGTTGCACTATATGTTTTCCAACACATAGACATAATTTCAATTTGTCTAACAATTTGATATTCTGTCAGGCCATCAATATTTCATTCGGCCACAAATATACCATCAAAAGTTATTGAAGTTTTTGTTTTTCTTCAAAAAGCTAATTAGGATTAGTGTTTTGAGGATGATATGGATGAACTTTTGAATATAAACCTTCTAATTTATTGATATGAAAATTATCAATAAACTGAGATTCAATTTCATCAATTGTATTGATATTTTTTGAAGGAGAAGGATGAGATAATTTAGATAATTGAGTTACAAGTTCTTTTAAAACTTGAGTCTCATTACCTAATTTTCCAAGTTGAGGAATCATATTGAAAGGATGAGGTTTGAATAAAACATTTACAAGAGTTTTCCATTTATCAATCGATTCTGAAATAGGTTTGTCAAAATTTAAAATAGCTTTCTAACTATCAGAATTTAATTCAATTCTGTTAAACTGAGAACACATGGATTGAAGAACAATATTTGTATAATTTTTTTGAACTTGAATTTTTTTGATATCTTCAGCTTCTCTTCATAATCATTTGATCTTTCACTAGATATCCTTTTGAGGGGAGAGGGTGGGGGGTGCAAGAATTTCAGTATTTCCTTGGGAAATTGCAATTTCTTGCATATGAGGATGAGTAGTTTAAAAAGTATTACTCTTAGATGTTTTTCAAATCTTTTTTGAAAAATTTGTATTTTGAATAATTTTAGATTTAGTAGGTTTTTTATTATAACTTTAAAATATACCACTTATAAAAACTTAAATCCTCTGAGAAGGTTTCAAATTCTCTCTAGTAAGATTCAATTTCTTC